AACTGGAAACACAGGGAATCCAGGACAGATGATCCCATCAGGACCAGTGGTGTGGGTGGCAATACTGGGAGGGTGGAAGGAGGGTGGGTTAGAAAGGGGGAACCGATTACAAGGAACTGCATGTGACCTCCTCTGTGGGGGACAGACAACAGAAAAGTGGGTGAAGGGAGACGTTGGACAGGGCAATATATGGCAAAATAATAATTTATAAATTATCAAGGGTTCATGAGGGAGCGGGGAACAGGGAGGGAGGGGGGAAATTGAGGAGCTGATGCGGGGGGCTTAGGTGGAGAGCAAATGTTTTGAGACTGATGAGGGCAATGAATGTACAAAGGTGCTTTACACAATTGATGTGTGTATGGATTGTGATAAGAGTTGTATGAGCCCCTAATAAAACGATTGAAAAAGAAGAAATACTCTGAACAGGCAGGCATGTAATAGGTGTTCATTCTCAACATTATATTCATGCATTACCTCTTTTCTCTTATTAAAAAAACTCATGTTTATTATTATAAAACCATCACAGACAGGAATACAATGTTCAAAACCCATAGGATTAAAGGAGAGGGCCAGAGCAATAAAATAAACTCCTTCAAAAAAGACAAAGAACTAGCTATCAGCATGGGGTTTTCGTTGTTCCTGTTTGGTTTGGTTTGATTTTTAAATGTTTATTTTCCAATATATACTGGAATAAACCTAAGTGGGTGTTTGAAGGAGAAAAGAAGAGTACGCATGTGGGGGTTGAGAGGTAGAGCACTCAATTTCCAACGAGCAGGCTGGTCATACGGCTGACAGGAGAGCAGAGCCTGCTCCTTCATCTACCTGGCATTAAAATCTTCCTGGTGCCCGCTGAATAAAATGCAAACAGCACCTCAGGTTTTTAAGAGCCTCCTCCATTTAGAATAGAACTGGAAGATGAAGATTGTAAACATTGTGAGAGAAAGGAAAATTGAATCATGACAACGGTGAGCGCAAGCAGCTGCCATTCTCTTTAATGCAGAATTTTATAATCCAAAAGTATTCATAACTATGCACAGTCTTATACACATTCTAGAAAGCATTTAGCAGATGAAGTACTCAGAAGAAACAAAATACATGGATCTACACAATGTTTTATTTAGACAGTATATTCACATTTT